CGCGCGCGTTGGCTCGAGCCGCAAGCTCTGTCGCCCGTCTGTGCCGCCTGGCCGCCTGGCCGCCTGGCGGCTGCCTCGCCCCTCTTTCTCTCGCCCGCGCTGTGGCTGCGCTTGCACTTTGCACTTTCCGCCCGGCGTTGAATCTGTCACTCTTTTGACTCTGCTCGCCTTCACCATCACCGACCACCACCAGCGTTGCCGTGCCTTCTCACTACGCCTCGCATCTGTCGTAGATCGCACGTCGTGTTCACCGCATCTTCCGCCTCTCCGACGCTTTTCCTGCACTTCTTTTTTCTCTCGCATCACCTCTGCCGTAGAGGTGCTCCTTCCGCTTCCCTCCCAGCCTCGTCTCTCCGCACAGTCTGGATCGGCAACGCACGCGCCTCTTTGCATCTCTCTCGCCGTTGCATTCCCACTTCAACGCTCTCTCTTACGTGCTCGTAGGAAACTCCAGTTCGCGTGGCCTCACTCGACCCAACTCCTCAGCACCCGGGACGACCGCCGCTGCTCCGAGCTTCACGCACACGTCGCCCCTTTCTCAACACAGACCGTTGTCGTCGGCTTCTCCGAACAGTAGCTCTGCCTTTCAGCCTGAACCGCGTCGCATCAATCCGAGTTCACCCGCGCCGCCTACATTCACGCCCAAGTTTTACATACTCAAGGCTATCATAGTACTTGATCCTCGCCACGACTAGACTTCAACATGCAGACCATCAAATGTGTGGTCGTCGGTGACGGTGCCGTCGGAAAGACGTGCCTGCTTATCTCGTATACAACCAATGCCTTCCCTGTACGTATCCGAATCCCGCTATCGGCAAGCTGGCGGTACACCCAAAACTGACGCGTTCTTGCTGCTGCTATCACTTGCGCTACTGAACAGGGCGAGTACATCCCCACAGTGTTTGACAACTACTCGGCAAACGTCATGGTCGACGGCAAGCCCGTGTCGCTCGGACTGTGGGATACGGCGGGCCAGGAGGACTACGACCGTTTAAGACCACTCAGCTACCCGCAGACCGACGTGTTCCTCATCTGCTTTTCGCTCGTCAGCCCACCGTCGTTTGAAAACGTGCGCACCAAGTGGTGGCCCGAGATTTCGCACCACGCGCCCAACATCCCCACCATCCTGGTCGGCACCAAGCTCGATCTGCGCGAGGACCCAGAGACGATCGCCAAGCTGCGCGACCGCCGCATGCAGCCCATCACATATGCACAGGGCAACCAGATGGCGCGCGACATCCACGCCACCAAGTACCTCGAGTGCTCGGCGCTCACCCAAAAGGGCCTCAAGGGCGTCTTTGACGAGGCCATCCGCTCCGTCCTCGCCCCAGCACCCGTGAAGTCCAAGAAGAAGAACAACTGCACCATCCTCTAGGCTTTCCGTCCCAACCGCACTCGGGTCTTGGTCCTTGCCGCACGGGTAGCATCAACGGGCGCAATCAAGTCTCTACTCGCGCTTGACGACCCGTCGCATCTAGACATCCATCCTCGCATCCCCACCTCTCCCCTCGCGTGGTCGTGAGGCTAGGCACCGTGCGCGACGGTGATATGATCCCGATGCCCGGATCGCCTGCCTTCACTCACGCGCTGTTCACAACTTCATCTCCCCTGGTTTTGTCTCTTGTGTTGGTGCTTCAAGGTTCTCTTTTTTTTTCGCTTTTCGCCGCATCGCATCGCATCGCAGCGCGTGCGCGCGCGCGTGTGTGTCTGTGCCAAAAAGTACGGTGACACTGGTTGTAGGATTGCTAGATCGAGGCTATGCTGTGTGTTGTATTATGCCGATGGCTTTAGAAGGCCTTTGAGCGCGGTGATGGTACGACCGAGCATGATGCCTCCGCCCTTGGTGAGGCCGTGCACCGCCTCGTCTTCGGACGGCGCAGTGTCCGCGCCCGGCGTGGCATTCATGAGCGCCTCGGCGCGTTCGACAATCTTGCGCAGGTTCGCCGCCTTGTGGTAGAAGAGCTCGAGCTCGGTCGCGAATCCCTCTGGAGGCTGTTCCAGCGCCTTCCTCACAAAGCCGCGCGAAAGGATGTAGGCCTTCTCGTTGTACAGCCTGCTGTTGACCTTGCTCTCGTCCTTGCCCTTGAGCTTTTCGTACGCCGGCTCGGTGAAATACGGCTCCCTCACCAGCACCAACGCCTGAATGCTGACAAACACCTGGAGCAGCGAACTCTTGCTGGGCGTCCAATTCTCCTCAGCCACGCCCGACCATGTGCCGAGCACGGACAGGCACACCTTGCCATCCTCGTACAGATTCGGCGACACGCGGCCGTGCCCGTTCGTCCACGAGTGGAAGTGGGCGACGGGAGGCTTGTTGGGGAACTCTTCGGTGAGCTGGAAATCCAGCAGGAACGGTGCGTTTTCGTACGGCGTCCCCTCGGAGCCGATGATGAGCACGCGTAAGAGGTCGCTGCGGTCCTCGTAGGCGCGCACGAGGATGGTCTCGGGCAGCGACGTCTGGAGTACCTTCATTTCCTTCTGCAGCCGCTTGAAGAAGGTCGCGCCCGGCGCAGACGCCGGCGGCTTCGAGTAGAAGGCATGCGAGGTCGGCGCACTCTCGAGCACGCTGAATTGGCTCCACTCTCGATCGCTGCTGGCAGCCGCCAATTCGGATGGCGCCGAAGGCTCGCCCGAAGAAGCCTCGGTGGACGCAATGGCTTCCAGAGCGGAAGAGGTGGCCTTTAACGTGCTCGCATCGCCGTTTTGAGTCTTCGGTGCGGCAGGAACGGATCGGAGGTCGGACGATGCGTCGACGTGTGCCGCTTCGGCAGCATCCTCGTCGTCCTCGGCTTCGTCGAGATGGATCTCTGCTACTTCGGGCGCGCCGTTGGAG